AGAAAAAAGAAAATTGAAGCTTACTTATGCATCCGGACAACAATACCTTTAAACTTTAATTTTAACCACATCTTTCAATGTTTTGAATTAATAGACTATTTAGAAAAGAGACTGTTAAACAAGAGTCTTTTTAAGAGACTGTTAGACTTTAAAGTATAAGTTAAAATTCTGTTTTTTAAGACTCTTTTGATTCTGGGTGACATATTTTAGTAAGTTTGGCTAATATGTGAAAATTTTAAAAGTTTCCGACTACTAGCAGCTTACATTTATTAAAGTAAACAAATAAAGAAGTAAACAAATGAAGATATAACATTATAGTCTGTATAACATTAAACAGACTAACTTTAGCTTTTATGAATTTACGCTTCTAATACCACATCTTCCACACATTTCCTTAAATATTAATATAAAATAATAGTTTAAAAAATATCTTTTAACTAATGACACGTATCAATCAGCATATAAAACCAATATTCCGTAATAAATGTTTTTATCTTTTCCTGATTTTCAAAAGTAAATGTTTAGACATCTGAGTTTGTTATTTTAAAAGTGTTATTTAATTAACAAACGATAAACAAGTTGAAAATATAGTGTCAAGAGTACATTATTACACCTCAATTTCTCTAAGTATTAAGATATTTTTAAAAAAAAGGCAATTAAGAGCCCATTTCACTTATAATTTTCTTAAACCGAAAGTAAGATCGATCAAACTTATTTTTTTCCAACCGAAATAACATTTGATTACTTCCTAACTTAATCTAAAATAAAATTTCATTCAAATTAACGAGAAAAAAAAAGGTTCTGGAAGACATAAATTAACCTACTACAATCATGAACCTTGGTTTTTTTTTCTTTCAAAAGTGCTAAAAGTTATTGTTTCGAAACCCACATGACAAAAAAATTTTTTTTAAACAAATAGCTATTAACATTCAATCAGGTTTTTCTATTCCCATTCACAAATTGTTTCTAGAACTAATTATTAAAATGTGTCCCACAAGTTTTAGTCTACATTCTTTCTGGAAACCTTAAAAAATGTTGAAATCACATTTTAAGTTGAATCCCTTTTTTTGGCCTCTGGTTGTGTAAAAGATTTCCTGTAGTCTCGAAGATGGTTTGTAACCTAAATTTTTTGTGTCTTAAAAATATCACTTTCAGAAAGATATTTTACAGTGTTCTAGATAAAGGTTACCTAAGTACCAAACTTTAGTTACACAAGTGCTTGAGAAGAAGTACGCAAACTTTACTAGAATAAAATTTTATTGAATTTTGGATAAGTACGTATTTTTAAGTGGCTTCCCTAATTGATCTTTGCTATTACAAAATAGAAAAAACATTGAAAAATTTTACAGTATAAAAATAAAACTGAGAATTGAGAAAAAGATTTCTTTCAGAAAAAAGAACTGTGTAAAGATAAAAAAATTTTCTGTTTTTAATCGTTACCCGCCTGTTGCAAATTTTTTTTTACAGACTTTCCCCGTATATTTGTCGGTTAAAAACCTTTCGTTCACCATTTTTTCTCAGTTTTTCACTCTAATCATAAACGGATCAAAACTGTCAATTCGAATTCTAGTCTTTGCCAAGTTTTGCTTAGCGTGACGCAACTTTATATTTTTTAAGATTTTTCTTTATAAGCAATTGCTAGAGCTCTGTGGCTCAGAAGACGGAGTGCTCGGCTTCCAAATGAGATGACGCAAGTTTGAATCCTGCCCTTGACTGGTCACGCGAATGCTGTTCCTTTCTCACAATGACCCCAATGTTAAAACAGTACAGTTTGTTAGTTAAAATTACAGTACTTATGAGCTTAAAAAGCAGTTTTTAAAAGACAGTCTTTTTCTACGAAATAAACGGTTTCTTACCTGCACTGTAAATTTAACAATTCTCTTTACAGTGAGTGTTTAAAATTTCAAACCAATGAGTTATCTTCAGTTATTTATATCAAATGTTTGAGTGTTATACTGAAATTGACGGCATACTTAAAACTTTGAAAGTAAATATCAACAATTCTTATTTTTTCAACAAAAAATAAACTTGCACATTATCCAATGAATTAGTGGACAATTAAGATAACTTTTAATTAAATACATGTTATTTTCATGAGAATTCTATCGAATATTATATATATATTATTTCCCCCCTTTTTTTTCTTCTTTTTAAATACATCGGGATAGTTAAACCTTTCAAATGTTAGACCGATTTGATTCATTTTTAATTTTATTGTTTAAATTTTCAAAAGTTATATTTGAATCATTTTTTTTATTACCATACTACTCGCTTAACTTATTCATTATGAAATTGAACAACATTTGATTATAGCGTATAAAAAATAAATCTCTTTAGCTTATTATCATTTCCCTATTCTAAAATGAAATTTAATGATTTATGTTTCAAAATAAATGTAGGAGGAACGTTCAACAATTGTGTGAACTAATACTAAATTCATGATAGATAACTTTTACTATGCATTTTGACTTAAAAATAATTTTTTTATTACAGCATTTTATAACTATTTATTTTCTATTCATCAATATTTATAACGATGATTATTGTATTGTACAATTGTTACTTGAAATAAAAAGTAATAAAAAGCTTACTAAATTGCTTTAAATCTTTAACTTATGAGAAGATTATAAATGAAAAAGCAATAACTAAATCTTAACTATACCATACATATTTAAAAAATAACAGTGTTTTGATTAATAAAAACCACTTTATTATATTTTTACTGTATTTTCGTGCATTAAATGCCTTCTCCGATTGTTTATGTTATTACAATATTTCCAATATATATAAACGGCTAATTTTAATTAGCACAATCTTAAGCAAAATTTATTTCTTCCTTAATTTCTTTCTTTCTTTCTTTTTTTTTGCAAGTTTAGTGCAGAAAGTTAATTAAAATTTATTGCTGGATATGATTAAGAAAACGCAAAAGAAAAATCATGTGATAACTCACTTCTGGTGATAGTTTTAGCTTTTATAACAATTATTTTATGTCAGGTATATTTTTAACTCAAATATAGATTCCATTTAATATAAGATTTGTTCCCTTTTTATAGACTGTATGTCGACGATTGCTTTACATTGATTGTCAATCCTGAATATTATACTGTTAGAATTTTGTATTAAAGAAAATTATATGATAGAAAATTTTAGTTAGAATTTTATATAATAGAAAAAAATATTATCCAAAAATTGAATTAGTATGGTATGAAATCTACAAAGATGTCATAAATTTTACCCTATCCCTCTCTCTAGCCTAAAGTGTCTCACTTCACCATACCCCTTGTCACATGTCACACCATATTATATAAACATATATTTGCAGTTCAGCACTACCAATTGAACTGCAGCCTCAAGCCTCTTTCAGATTTCATGTTTAAACGTGCTTTAATGACGTTTGTAAGAAGAACAATATAAATTATTATGCGCATACCTGTTTTAAAAAAGAAAAAAAATTAATTTACTGATTTTTAAACGCTTTTATTTTAACCAAAATGTAAAATGTCCCACTTCCTTACTCTTGTCACGATTTCACGAACCCCTCCTCTCTCCTCTAAGCGTGACATCATTTATGTATGATCCCTTATGATGACAAATATGTTATGTATATGAAGCAAATATGTATAATTGATTTATTTAATATTCTTTCTATTTTACTGCCCTAATTGTTCTAGAATCCAAAGATAACGGATAATGCAGACTGGAACTGGCAATTAATAATGGGAAATTGTTCCTATACCTTTTTAGTGTTTAGTAATTCTTTCGCGAGCATTAATAACGAGTAACAAATACAAACAAAATATTGCGTCTCGTTTCTTCTAAATTCCAAATTAATGTTTAGAAATTTGTAATATAGTATCTATGCATTGTTAACAATTTTTATTGCCCTTGAACTGTCGCCCCCAAGCAATCATTAAAAAAAAATTCTGACTGTAAGTTCCAGTTTTCAAAGCATGACGAACTCTTTGGAAAATTAACTTTCTTCGAAAAAAAAAGGGGGCAGACAAAACATATACTAACTTGGAAAAAAAAATTACAGTTCGTTTAATTTCCTTTCTAAATTTAGAATTTTTTTTTCCTTTACTGTTACTAAAGGATATAGTTATTCTTTCCGCAGCGATAGATCGTGTAGGGAAAAAGCATTTCTTTTAAGTGAATGTTTTTTTTTCTTCCATTCATTATACGTGTTTCTCATTTTGACTAAACAAGAATTTAAAGATAAATTTGTCACAGAAAAATCATACACCACATAGAATCTAATCTTACTTTCCTCAATTAAACTTCTTTAATTCATTTGCAGTTTTATCAATTTCATTGTTAGTCAATTATTAAGCTTCATTTAAGAAGAAAAATGCAGCTATTTTTTTCAGGCTTAGAGTTTAATAATTTCATATCGATGCCATTTTAATTGGTAAATAATTTTAACCAAATATATATATATNTAAAATTGGTTACAATTAGTTATTGTTCTGAGTCCATTCTGTGTTTATAAGCACTTCAATTTAAATAAAAGTATTTTGCATGACAACTTTTGAATACTGCAATAAACAATTACTTTTAAAATTTCATAGTATTAATTGAATGTAAATTAATTTAAATTTATGCAAAACTGTTGTACTTAGTTTAAAAAATTAATATATTGAATAATCTTATTATAATTAATAACTACATTTTACATAATTTTAAATTAAAACAAGTTTAATTTAGAATAATTGAGTTTTATTTCTCGTTTGATTTAAATAAATATTAGTTTCTAATTTTAGTGCTGATGTATAATAAATTATAAAAACTTTTGTATAATAAATTGTTGCATTGATAATATAGCCCTATCGATTGCAGTTTTATTCCTATTGATGTGTTACGGTATCATTTTTCTCCCTTTTTTTTATTTTCAATTTAAGATTCATGTTTTTGATTGAAATGGAGGTCATGGATTATTTTTTCTTTCATTATTGTATGCTTCGAAACTTTAAGGTATTTATTAACAAGTTTTTGTTTTCTAGGGCTAATTTGGAAACGTTATGCAAGCCAGATGCTTTCCACTAATAATCCTTATCATTTCTTTATTAGGTAAGATCTATCATATTTCATTCTGCTTTCTCTTAAGCTTAGCTGGGACCTTCACTGTAAAAAATTCCGGATCAAATTACGGTCTTAAGTCATTGCACTTTGGGTGCAACATCCGCAAAATCCATTTTTATCGTAAAATACTAAATTGTAATTTTTTTTTACAGTAATATTTATTTAATTATTGTGATTCAGTAATTTGACCGTAATTACTACTGTAAAAATTACGGTACAGATTTTTCGTTCCGTAATATGTTCCGGTATGAATTCCTTTTACAGTAAAAAGTACCGGCACGTAGAGTGTCGGTACTTTTTAATCGTAATTTGATCTAGAATTTTTCGCTGTGCAAAATTGGTTTGAAGCTGGCATTGAAATGTTTAAGACGATTACTGTAAAGTTTTAGGACATTAAATTTTCACTGGCAGCTCCCTACAGGCAACTGTGCAATAAAAAACGTGCAAACACTGGCTGTTTTTTTTTTTTTTTTTTGAATACTCTTTGAAAAAAAACTTAACTGTAAATTGTACTATATTCTAGTATTCTAGTAGAATTTTTTTTTCAATTTTTAGTGGCATTTTAGCAAGTGTTTTTACAAGGGCTGTTTTTTTGGATGCTTTTTTTCCATTTGCCAAATATTTTAGTCTTCTTATCCAATAGAAAAAGAGTTTCCAGTAATATATATATAAAAACCTTTACTATGTCCGGTTTTTCAATGGAAATTGATCTTTCGATTTTTTATAATAATAAACTTTTGCAAAATTAAATTTACTTATAAATTTAATAACTATTATTCACTATTAATTATTATGAAATCCAGAAAAAAATTAAAACTTCCGTGTAAGAACTCTAAGAGCTAAATTATCAATATATCTAAATTTAGATACCATGAAAATATATGATGAAATAGCAGATTTTAAAGAACTAAAATTTACCTGTAAAACCATATTATCATTTTTTTGGTCGTTTTAACAAATCGATTTTCATAACAGGTTAGTGGTTTAATCTGTTTTCGTTCTTAATCTTTCGTGACGTTGTAACAAAAATAACTCGGCCCAAGACATAAATTTCGTTCTTGATACTTAGTGAATGCGGAAAAGATTTTAAAAAATGAACAGCCTTCATTTTCTTTGATATACAAAATCATAAAGCGGTTTAACAAGTGAAATTTAAATTTGACTTGTAAATAGGAAGAATTGTTATGTAAATTAAGTTGAAAGGTCAATTTATAATTTGTTTATGAAACTGGGCAAGAAGATGAATAATTATTTATTCTTTTAAGTATTAGATAAAATTAGCTGATTACTACTATAAATTATGTTAAGATTAAAGGTTGGCATACTCTTCGGAATAATTTAATTTTCTGTTTTTTGGAAATTATAATGCTTGTGTACTGTACGAATCTAGAATTTCCATCAGTAAGATAGAATTTTTTTTTTTTCGTTCCCTTTAACATTTTAATTGTGCGGATGAAAGAAATGGCGATATGAATTAGATATTTACACGTTTGCAAAACAATAAAAATATATTTTCTGTAATTTGTCTTTAATTTGCTTACCCAAAACTCTTCTCCGTCAGCTTTGAACTAAAATGTTCCTGCAATAATCAATACAAAAATTATTACAAATTATGTCAAAATACATTCGTTTTTTCATATTTATATTTTCAACTAATGAGCAAGTGAAGATAAATAATGATATTTTGAATCTGAATAACGATATTTTTGATATTTTAATCCTTGTTCAAATTGAAGTCGAAAAATTAGAAACATTAGGATATCAGACTAATAGTAAAGCAATGTAAAAGCTAAAGACGATATTAAAATCTAACAACTTGCTATTAAAAAAATGGGCACAAAACACATTAAAAACTGTTTAAGATCCCAAGAAAATAGAGACTCTTTGAAAGGTGATTGTTGCAAAAACTTTCAAATTTCATGAGACAGTCAAACTAGTTTCATCAGCAAGTCTTTCATCACAACTTCCTCACTAGTGATGATATACATTTGATAGTGTTTTCGTTCCTTTCCACGGATTAACAAACATAGGTTTTTGATCCTCATGTGTATATATTTGTATATTTTCATTATTTCATAAACTGACAAAGATTTTGGAACCAAAAAGTAAATTATACACGCGTATGACAAACTTTCAATATTTTTCAAAATTGTCTTTGCATAGAAGCCTTGTTTCAAGTTAATTAATTTATACTTCACTTAAATTTTAATTAAAAATTTCTAATTTTAATCCTTAAATCTTAGACTAGTTTATTTAATAATTCTCTTAAACTAAACTTAATACCCTAAAGTTCAAGTATCCCCCACATGCAATAAAATTTGTAAAATCAATCCCACATTGATTTGTTCTACTGAGTTTGAATTTAAAAATACCTTTATGTCCAACTTCAATCATAAACCAGTTTTTCAACACAGAAGCTTTGTTATAAATTCATAAAATAACGCTACTCTTAAATTTTGCTACGAAATTTTGAATTTGAGTTCTTGAACAAGTTTAATTTATTAATTGATTGAACAAGTTTATTTATACAAATTTATTAATTTATTGAACAATTTAATTCACATTTATCCTAATTTACAAATTTCTTGAACAAGTTTAATTTATTAATCCGAATTCGCTTATTCCTCAACAAATATAATTTATTAATCCAAAATTTGAACGTCTCTTAAACTAAGCTTAGATTTTAAAATTTGAAATATCCTCCCACCATTCAATAAAATTTGTAGCATCGGACCCAAATTGTTTTGTTCTACTAGGTTTGAGCTAAGAAGTAAGTTACGCACGCGTATGACAAACTTCAATGGTGTTTTTACCATTAACTTAACACAGAAGCCTCGTTCTCAATTCATACCTGCAGATCAAAAAAACAAAAACAAAGTCCGGAAAAAACTTTAAAATATGGATGAGCATATTGTGAAAAGAAAAGTGTGTCTAGTGAGCTCTATTTTGCATTCTGAGATGAAACTGGGTCATGGCAAGCACTTTTATTCGACGATTATGGCATACAGGTGGTGGCAGACTGAAAATTTAATTTTACGAGTCTGGTTCAAGGTTCCTTACACCCTCCAAAGAAATTTATCTATTGTTTTACAAACAAAAAAAAATTGCTTTTCACTTCAGTGAGTTTCTTCGGCCATTAGACATGCTTCGGATCCGATTGTATTTCAATATGTTTGCCGTGTTTATGGTGCTGAAACAGAGAGATATTTATTCGTAGTGAATGAAATGGAAATTGAAATCAATTTTATTAGGATTTTAAAGAAAAGCTAAATCAAAAAAACTCTTATCATTTTGAATTATTTATTTGTTACTTTCGGAAGAAAGTAATCTGACCATAAATTGAATGAAAAAAATAAATTAAAAACAATGTTTTTGAGGTACACGGAAGAAAAAGAATGTGATTTTACTTTTGTCAGATACTTACCGAAAAACTTGAACCATTTTCAAAAAGCTAGTAAATTTTAGATCGACAAATAGATGTCAACAGTCAGGAAGATATTTTCCTTTGGCAGTTTGTTTTTGTTTATGTTATATATAAAATGAGATTGTTTGAAAAGTGCAATTTTATTCCAAATATGGCGCCATATATTCGAAATGTAGTTTAAAACTAGTTTTTATCACAAGAAATGTCTTTAATTGCCATACTTTATTTACAAAATATTGAAAAAAAACCTTAAACTCATGTTTTGAAGTGAGTTTATACACAATTTTTTCAGATAACGATTAAATTTATGCCTCTCAATTCTTAACATTTAACTATTCAACAGTTTAAACTTAATTGAAAGATAATGTAGATTGAGTATAAAGTATAAAATAGCTTAACTTTCAAACAATGAAAACTTGACAAAAAAATGTCGGTTTCACTTACATGAGTATTTTTACTCACACATATATTTCAAATAGGAGAATTTGTGTGATTTATATGGAGAATCAAATACCAAATCTTGCAACAAAGTTAACTAGTAACTGAAAAATATATTTATATAAAATACAAATTTTCATAAATAAATAATAAACATGGTCATAAATAAATTATTAACATGTTAAATTTTTGAAATGCAAAAGTAATTCGAATTTTTAATAATTCCTCTATTTTCTCTTATAATCTAAACTAAGTAGGAATCATAATAGTTTTACATATTTTTTTAATAATTTGCACCCAAAAAACGAAAGGTTTTTTTTTTGATGCAGTACAACAAAGTGTAGTCCGATATACAAAACTGTTAACTACATAATTGTCTTTCTATTTCTGTTATTTTCAATATTTTAATTCAAAACTATTTACTTATTTCTTTCAGTTTGTTCAACAGCTGATAAAAAACCATCTCACAAATTGGTAAGCATTTTTTTAATTAATGATTATTAGTAAGTCACTCTTTATTTTCAACAAAGTTATGTAATCCTTGCTACTAAAAGGCGTAAAGATGCCTAGAATGTGGCAATAGATACGTATTTTATTTTATTTTTTAATCGTGTCCATGGACAATTAAATGGCCTCGTGTGCCTTCAAAATAGCATCCGCAAGCTCCAGTACATCATTACTGTAAAGGATCTGAAGCCAGTGGCGCCATACTCACTGGTTCTTCAGAGGGTGGTAGAAGGGAAACAAAATACTTTCCGCGGACCAACAGGTAGAAGTCCAACCTTTCGAGGCTCTGGCAACCCTCCTTTTCCATGGACAGTGCAATAGATATGAAAAGAAGGGAGAGATATTTCCATCTTATGCTTTGGAATGGGTGCTAGTAATCAGAAATCAAAAATTAAATAAATTTGCAATGCATATTCTCTTAATTGAAATTATGATATTGGATTTGTTATGTAGTCTACTTGTGAATAATTACTATCAAAATGTTCGTGCATAACTGAAGAACTTGGACAAGTCGTTGTTATATGAACATTTTCTGCAATCCAATATATTGCTAAGTTGGACCACATCATCGTAATTTTTAAACTTAATTACACCAAGAAATAGTTCAGGTTGAACAGCAACATGGTTTAATTCAACACTTTATTAAGGTTGTATGGAATTTATATCGTATTATGGTTCAAGGCACCGATACTAAGGTCCAACGTTAAGCATTTAGAGAGAATGAACCTTCAGTTACAGCTTTTTGTTTTTGTTTTACTTATAAAGCATTTTCAGGACTTTATTACTGAAATCCAATATATTTCGACTAAACTTTTTCCTTCAATTTTTTTCATGTGTTTTCATAAATTATTATATAAATTGAAAATTATATATTTGGGTGTTGTTGTTTTTGATGCATTAGGACGCTTTTAGTTGAACCTATAGGGTAACTGTTTCGAAATTCAATTATGGCCTCACAATTTTTTAATTTGAAACATCGACGAACATAAACTGTAAAAACAAAATTCCCAAAATTGAGCAAAAATGTATCAAAATCGCTTTGACACAAATAATAGTCGAATACAAAAAAATCCATGCATTCAAAATTAAACTCATTTTTGAGCAAAATGCATAGTCTCAATATTGATAAGGAGGGAGATATATGTGAGAGAAATGTTTGTTGACTGCCGGCATGATAGGGATCGAGGTTCTAGTAGGATGCTCTAACCACCACAGATGCACACCCTAAATCCGGGGAGAGCTAGAAAGCTTTATCGTTGGGACCGAAATTTAATAAAAAATTGTTGCTTGCTGAGCTGTAGTACGCTTAATTACTGAAAATTAAGTACATAGAGAGTAAAATAAAATGAGTAGCTTTAAAAACATTTATTATATTTTTTTTAATATTATCATGATTTCTGCTTGGGCTTTTATAAATACATTTATTATTATTAAAATTTTATTCATTATTTGTTGTTTTTTTCCCCATGAACTCAATTGAAGAGAATGCCTTCATGCGTATCAATTTAAAATCATATTCTACATGTCTCATGCTTTATAAGCCTCTTGTTTAACAGCAGTGAGCGTTAAAAGACGATTTAATCATGAATAATTCAAATGCTACTCACAAAAGCATCTTTATACCAATTGAAAACAAATACCGTAACGATGCTCTAGTTTTTATGACATGAGAAACTTTCTCTGCGCACATCTGATTGTCACTCCCAGCCAAGTAAGAAGTTACCCCAAAAATTTAATTTGAGCAATAAAGTGTAATATGTCAGTAATTGTGGCGCTTTAAAGAGTTAAACCATTTAAGTGATTACTGTTACCTTTCCTTTAATTCAAATTACTGTAAGTCGTAAAAAAAGACTGTCTGAAATAGTAACTTCATTGAAAATTGAAAAAAGCATTATTACCAATCATATGTATCTCTTAATTGCTTTGAATTTTAAATAAAAGTGGCGTATTGTTTAATCTTCACAGTTACTCGTCATAAAATAGTTATCAGCAAACCTTATATAGATTTTCTTGGAATAAAAACAAACCTTTTTTTAAAATTTATTTAAAAGGTGCATGTTTAAATTTACCATGTCATTTTATGCTTGTTAATTATTTTATAAATTCATTAAATGGCTATTTTCAAAAATCTATATTTAGGGTTATAAAACATGCATTTTGTTTCTTATGTTCCATAAAATTATAAGAAGACTTTTAAAATTCATTTCGTTGTCTTAACAATCATATATAATGTATCAATTATAATGCATAGAATATTTCGTATTTTGTGTACTAATGTGCATCAAGTTATGTTCATTTTCAGCAACCCTATTTTAATTTAAAGTAATACTTTTTGCAAAACTTTCGCTCAAATTAATTACTTGTTATTCAAATGATTATTTTGTAATAGACATTCTTAAAAACTTTTGAGTGTTGACCGATTTGCTCAGATTTGTTTTAACTTTAATCCGATTATCATTTGACTCAAATTCTCATGCAATTTAAATCTTGAACTTGATAAAATTATATAATCTTAAGCTTGATTACGCGATACTGAAGTTGAATTAGTAATGTAAAAAGGTTTTTATTTAAAACAAGCAAATTTGCACCATATTATGCACGGTATTTACAAAGTAACGTTAACCGACAACCGTGTTAAAATTTAACCAATTTTTCTGCAAACGTATTTAGAATATACACAATTGATAACTGGGAAAACAGGTTCTCGTTCCACTGCCTTATTTCTTTTAGCTTTAATATGCTATTACTTTTCCATGTGCTATTTTTTGCATGCCTTTGACTAATTTAAAAGCTTTCCACAAAGAAAAAAATAAATCTAAATGTGAAAGGTCAATACAAAAACTAATGAAACCGAACTTTTGATTTGTCACTTTAAAAATGAAAAACCAAATATTGTGATTGGTAACATCTAACGTCAATCAGTAGTTTACATTTATTTTTTCAATATTCGATGTTCTTATCAGTTTCTGTTTCTATACTCTGTTGCAAGTTAAGAAAAAATCATTAGCCCTATAACGAAGGCCTGTTTGCGTCTAAGTGCACGCCAAATGGAAACGAAGCTCCCAGCGCGAGCGTACATCAATATCGCCACCTCCATCTCTAAAAGCAACAGTGCGCAATTTCCTTTTTCTTACTTTCTTATTAACAACTATAATCAATTAACAAGTAATAAAGAATTAATAAAAAAGATATCTTAAATATGGAACAAATATACGTCTTTTTATTCACATTTAAAGAAACTGATGGAACAATAATCGCAATTGTTTCTTGCAGACGATTTTCTTCTACGAAACAAAAGTAAAAAAATTTTTACCTCGCATTTGATTTGTTAAGTGCATGTCATCATAAGACGCTCCATTTTTAGTGATCCAATCAAATCCAATGCTCTTGCAACGTCATGGAGTTGTAACGAATGTTCTTCTTATCTATCGGAATATGTCGCCATCATTAGGATTCCAGTAAGAATACGAAATTATTACCTTTTTTAAAAATAACTCTATGATATATATCGTAAAAGATAACACGAGTTATATTTCTAAATAACGTGTTAACTTTTAAAAACTTTAATAGTGTTTTGAAAGCATATTTGTATAATTTGATAACGAAATAAAACGGAATTATATGCAGTCTTGGATGATCACTTAAATCCTATACCGTAATAGTCTTTTCTTAACTTGCGAAGTATAATCGTCCTCAAATCTAAGTTAATTTCACGCAGAAGCACTTCCATTCTTCATAATTTTTCTCTTTTGTAACCACAGGTCAAGAGACAAGTTCCGCCTCGACCTGGAGGCGAACGTACTTCGTTTCCACTTTCAAGAAGCAGACAGTTCCCACCTCCTGAAGAGCTAGAAGAATCAGAATACGAGGACATCAGTGAAGATGATGAACCTGGAGTGCCGGCATCTTCTTTTAGGGGACGACAACCTCCCCCGTTGTATGATTACTCTGACGAACAGATTGTTACAGAAGCACCTAAAATTACAACAGCCACTCCACCAAAGTCAACTTCGAGACCCAATATTTTCAATAGCAGGTCAAATAATGTTCAATTAGCACTGTAATATTTTTTCTATCTGTGTATGTTTCCAGGAAAAATACCCTTTTTCGATTCAACAATAGCCATTACATTCTAGTGATTAATCGTCTACTTTATATCAACTTAAATGGTTTATATTTCTAAGCAAATTAGTTGATTACTAAACACGTTCAACAAAAAACAAACTTCTAATTCTCTCGGTGGTACACATCTTTATACATTCGGGATACACGACAGAAATACTCTTTTAATAATAGAGCATGGTTTTTCGTAGAGACCACTCCTAATCTACATTTTTGGGGGGTAAAGTGTACACCTAACGAATCACAACATACGAATCGAGCCACGTAGCGAGACAGAAAATATTAAAACCTGCTTGATTGAGAAAAGAGGTTAAATTGGACTGTTAGAAATACTTCCAAGTTTCATCAAGCAATCAAACCTGTTTCGATGTTTTTCATTCCTTATTTCTCACTAGTTATTCAAAAGATTTCGATGGCGATTTTTCTCTCGATTAATTATTAGTTCTTGATAGCTGTTTTGCTTAGTTTTTTATGTAGATTTAAAAATAATGTTTCAAGGGTGGTAATTAGGAAAATTCTTGTATATTTAAAGAAAAGCTAGTAACTAGCACATTGTAGAACTAGTTAATTAGCACTAGTAATTAGCGTCTCTTCTTTTGATAACATAATTTTATATTTGAAGCAATTAAAAAATTTATAAATTATTAGGTCTCATACTTTGATTTAGATTGTGTGGTATCTGTAATTCAATAATAGTTTGCAATTAATAGTTTAAAATAATTAAAAGGTTATCTGCCAACCCCAATTTTAATTTTTTTCTTATTTAATTGCTGATTAAATATGCAATGCATTTCATCATAATCGGTATCAATTATACCAAATAATATCTCAATTATTTCAGAATTTATGACATTTTTTCAATTAAAATTTACATTTTCTATACCTTTTTAATGTAGACATACGCTACAGCAATAACGCTAGTTGTGGATTATTAATTGAATTGAATTTAAAAGGTTTGACACGATTTGAAGAGTTTAGTCTTTAAATTTATAGTTTTAAAAGAGAATTTAACATTTGACTTCTTCGTCCTACTTAATGTATTTATTCGTCGTACAGGGTGAACTCAAGACCTAAATTTGGAGTCCAGTTCTCTACTAAGCTCAGTAGCACAACAGCTGCACCTAAAACGTCAACAGCTTCTAGCTCTAATCCTCGTTTCAGAGCCACTCCCGCTCAAAGTCAAAGATTAGATGTAGTTGCAGATATTTTAAACAAGCCACCTCCTCAACGTTCATCTTCAAGAGCTATATCCCCTTCCAGAACAGCTAATGAAAACTCCAATCAGAAACCTACTCCTAAAAGTCCAGTTGCATCTGATCAAGTTTCACGAAGGTACCCATTAAAAATTATTAAAATACTTTTGTTGCTTGTTTTAAAACTGCTGATTAAGTACTTGACTGAAATTAGAAAACTGGCTAGTTTCTTTAAATTGGTCAGATTTTGCGTAGCTGCAATAAAACTGATTACAATACTTGCTTATTTACACACTTATTTAAAAATTATATATTGTTCCGGTATTTTACTACAATTTAGAGAAATATTTTGATTGCTCATATTCCTGTTTATTATTTTATTTTAATTATAGTTTTTAATCAGATGTTTAATTAGTTTGTTATTCATTCTAGAACTCATTAAACTACTTTAAAATGCTATGAGAATAAGTGTGGTCTATATAAAATAAATAAATAAATAAAAAATAAAAATACAAATAAAAAGAAGAAGAAGCATGTGATTGTTTGATTTGACACAATACTCAACATATTGGTTGCTATTAGAGATTTATGATGACCACATTTCTTATTTCCTGGGACATGTTGAGCCTATTTACTTCGCATCTCAATCACAAAAAAGTCGTCTTTTTTCAATATTTTCTTTAATATTTTTTGTAATTTTGATTAACGTAATACCCGGAATGAGTGAAAAGAATATTAAAACAAGTACGGCTGCCAATGTGTTAATATGCATAGTTTCAATTGAAAATTGCTAGCAACTACCATTGAGTTTCAGTACTAAATAAGATAATTATTTGTTGTTGTTGTTGCTGTCTTGTTTATGACAGTGGTAGATATTTTCAAAAGTTTGGAGAATGAGTTTTGAGTGTTCTGGTGCCTGAAGACTTGATAGGATGTCCTCTGGTGGTCAGTCGAGTTCAAAAATTGCAGTCATAATTCTGTCTGACAGTTGCAAAGATGTTCTGGAGTTAATTGTGTTTGGGGGCAAGATCTGCATATGGGTATAATCTGATCTTGTCTGAGGAAATCTTCATGTCCATGAAATGGCCGTACGGAGTCTTAATAGAGCGAATAAGAGAATTATTTAAGACAGTGATCTATACAAACATTCTATTATATAAGGATCTAAATAATTCAAAAATTTAAACTAAATTACAATCTATTACGCAACTGTAAATTTTTTTTATTTAAATTTCCACCCATAAGGTTGAGTTACAAGCAAACTATGTTTTAATAGTTATATATATTCTTTGCTATATGATAGCAATATAGGTTATTTATTTTATATATTTTTTTTTTCAGAAGTGAAAGTAGTGGAAATTCACGGATCCGAATGAGAGCAAGACCAAGAACTAGGTCAACAACAACTACAACCACGACAACTACAACTGAAGCCGTACCAGAAGAGTATTATTACTATTATGAAGATGACGATGAAGCTTCCAAAAATCAACCAATCGCTACTACAACTAGCACAACTACAACAACCACCACTCCTCGTCCTTCCTTACCTAAACGACCATCCTTGAGCAATCGACGACCTACAGCTGACAGAAATAGCCGACCAACATCAAGACCTGTCATTAAATTTGATATAGAATCACAGTTTGTACCTCCTCCTGAGAAACCAGTTGACGTAATAAAACCAAGTAGCAACAAGCCAAGACCGACATCAAACCGAAATAGTAAACCAACATCAAGATCTGTCGTGAAATTCGATCCGGAATCTCAATTCCAGCCTCCTCCGGAAGAGGTCACAGATACTGAACCTTCTACTTCTGCTCCTAAAAGATTTACAACAAGCACTACAACAGAACCTCCTGGTGGTTTCGGGGACATACCTATTCATCTCCGTAATCGATACAAACCTAGAACGGATGGTCGTTTTATTGATTTCTTGAGAGATCCAAATCGTCCAAGGGAACTGAAAGGTTTTGATTTAACAGACTATCCATTTTATGTGAGAGTTCCTGAGGATATCGTTTTTGAATGTGATGATAAAAAGGACGGTTATTATGCCAGTGTGCCTCATAAATGTCAGGTAACTAATTAATTTGCCATTAAAAATTGTGTCAATAAAAAACTTACTCTTAGGTTTAAAGTGAAATTTGTATATACTAAAAATAGGAATAATTTTGATGACTTCAAGGAAAAGATTTTCATAAAAAAGGTATCTTTTAAATCTTAATTAAGGTCTAGTGAACTAGTTTTTCTGTTTTTCCTTAAGTGTATAATAAAACACAATATTCATTAAAATATTAATACAGAGTTATTAACCTTACATAAATAGCTACTCTGACAATTTGGTTAAAATTTTGTATTGTAGAACAATCAACACTAATTAAAATCTACAAGTTAGAACTGATATCGTTAAAGAGATTTAAATCTCCAAAAAAGTTCATTATACGCAGGTAACTAATGAGTTTTATTTGAAATTCTCCTTTTTTGCTTAAGAATTCTGTTTCAACAAAAATTGCATAACATCGCACAGCACAACACATTCAATTTTTACTGTACAGTTCTTTTTATTAAAATTTACTTACTTTCCTGCTAACGGAAATAATGTGATAAAATTAAAATTAACAAAATTAAAATTAACAAAATTTACTGATTATTACCTCATATTTGCTTTTTTTTTTCCTTTTCATTTTTGTGCCTGCTTCCTTTAATATATCGCAATTTACTGAAGGAGATGCGTTCGTAAGTGCAATATATTTGGTAAATTGTTTCAACGACAGAGCTATGTTGCAATCTGCATTGATTTACCTTTTCATGGTACTACTGCATCAATTAAGTATAAGTATTCAATCTGTCTAAAAATCTCATTGTTTGCGTTTCCTACCTATTTAATGTACAGACGCCAGAAAAATTCACCAATTGAAAAACTCACAATATTTTCACTTACATAATTTTACTGGAGAGGTTTCCTTGTAAGCCGAATTTGATTTTAAATATACCCAATATTAAGTGAATCATAAATTCTGTTGTAATTGAAATTATTTGTATTGTTTTAGTTGTTCCACTACTGCTTTGCTGGAGCCCGTTACGATTTCTTATGTGCCAACTACACCTTATATGATCAGACGACTTTCACCTGCCGTTTTGCCAACAATGTTGATTGTTTGAGCTCTGAGAAATTCTACTACAGAAATGACGACTTGTGGAAGGAGACGACTACAACTTCAGCCCCAGAAACGACAACGAAGAAAAGAAGGCCTCGACCTAGGGACTATGACTACGACGATGAATATGATTACGATGAATATGATGAGGAAGATGAACCTGGACGCAGGAGGCGACCATCGAGGAGGAGGCGTAACAGGAGGAAGAATAAACGCAAGCAGCAAGATGAGGAAGAAGAATAGATGAAGAATATCTTCCTATAGAAACATGTTCTTCGAATAATGAAAAATCATTGACGTTAATTTGAGATGTTTCATTGATATCATAAATAGGTATCTTTGGAATATAGCAAATGTTCGAAAAGGTGGAAAAGAATTTCATTCTTTATCCTTGCATTGATCTTATATCGTTGCCAAATGTTGTGATTGTGGGGCTTAGTTAATTTTAATTAAATGTTCAAATGATGATAGATATGCTTTTAATTCATCGTTCCTTGTGAGTAGTTGAATTTCAAACAATAAAAATAAATTTCTAATGTCAAATTTGACGATTAATTAAAGGCATTGCTATCACATGTTTGTTTAGTTAGTGAAGTATATTTCAATGTAAATAAATATTGTTTCAGTTAGGAAAAGATAAATTGAAAATACTTAAGTTAAATATAATGTAGTTCCTTGCAGTTTTGTTTCATAATTTCTTTTATTCAAATAAAAATAAAACAGTTTTAGTTTATTAATAGCAATGTACCATTTGTGCTGTGATCCATTTAATTTCGAAGCATTGCATTTAAGTAAATTTTTTGTCTTTTGTTGTGCATCAAGGAATTTTTTTTTAAATAGATAAATTTAGAATTATCTGTTTTGAATTTGTTTAAATATCATTGAGCTTTATTGAATGAAATATAAGTAAGTCACTTTTCAATGTATTTTCCAAAGCGTATTTGTTATTTAATTCATTCATTTCTAACGGTTGCTAATTTATGACAATATTCTGTATATGCTGTATTTTGTGTAATTATCTTTTTCTGAGATTTTGTTACAAATAAAATCGTTCAATATTGATAATATTGTCTTATTGTTCGTACTTCAATTTATTTCATTTCATTCCCATTAGTATTTTTTAAATGATTTTTAACAAAATACAGAATACAATAAGTGTGTTTAACATACATAAATAAGTTATAATCATGATACAAGGTCTCTGAAAACTAACTATGCAGAGAGGTAAGCTGAACTAAAATGCTGTAATGATTTCTAATGACATTACAGCTCAAATTTAATTGCAAGGATCTAAAAAAATGATACCTTTCTAGGAGCTAGTATGTTATATAATAGAAAGTAGCGTAATAGTTTTTCTATTTATGTTAATTTTTAATAGAAAATTGGGTGCAAACTAGGAGTTTTTAGGCATTATGGCGATCAGGTGACCGGGATTTGTAGACCAATGTTAGATTTATTTGATTTGATTATGCATAAAATGAAGGGGGAAAAGGGGGGTGAAAGTAAGCTTGTTTAGTTTTAAACTTAAAATTTTAAAACATTTTTTGCTCTTCAAATTTAACGAAAATGATTTTTTAAGCTCTTGGGTCTAAAATTCAGAAAAATACTTTTTTAAATTATTTTTGATCTCAGCTAAAGCCTAGCAACTATATAAATTTATAAGAGTAAAATATTTCTTTTATTATAATCAATTTACATATCCGTAAATACTGCTAGTCTCTTTAATTTAAATAACAAACAACAGTGAAAATAAATTATTAGATAAAAATAATCATTTAATAATCGTCTCGCATTTGAGTTTTATTATTTTGAGATACTCGGTAGACGTTTTGAGAATTTTTCATAATTTTTTACACAATGGGAATGGTTTAAAACTGTTTTCATACCAAAAAATGAATGCCGTATTTTTTGTTCATCTACCTAGAAATACTATATAAAAGAGATTTTTAGAAAAATTAATTTCTTTCAAATCATGCTACAATTTAGAGTTTCTCATAGTGCTTTTACCGTCAATTTCAAAATACTGTCTTGAGGTAGTTTTAAAATGTAATATAGTTAAACTCGTTTATGGCACGAACATTTTATTGTGAATTACTTTTCAAGATTTCTTGACTTACTGAATTAAATCAATAGTCTTGTTGAGCGATTTTTGAATCGTTATTTTTCTTATAAGTTTACCACGCATAAGATCCCCACTCAAAATCAAACTGATGGTTTCATAAGTGAAAATCATGTTATCGCTTAGGTATGCTTAAAAAATATTTATAGAACATTTAAAAAAATATTATTATTGAAAGATTTAATATTCTATATAGTTTTGTTTTGACATCTTGTCATAGATTTAACAACATTTCCTTAGCTGAATTAATTAATGATTTAATAGGTAGATTTATCAACGTCGCAGTAGAGCTGCAGAATGGACTATTGGCGACTAATAATTTAATAGAGTCTGCTTACTAGAGTCATTCAACAGACAAATTAGATTTTTTTTTACATCACAGCAATGGCTTAAAACTGCTCTCATATAAGAAAAATGAGTGTTATTTTTACCGAAAATGCTCATTCCTTAAAATAAGTCAAGTCGTAACAAGAACAAAGCATCAGTGAAATCTGACACACAAAAACAGTTTGTTTTCGCACAAAGTAACAACCTTCTATACTTTAGATATCTATATGTACCCAGATACATTTATGATTTTTTTAAACTATTAGCTTTGATCAAAACATGAAAGATTTTGAAGCAAAGGCTGCTTAAAATTCGCTCGCTGCAAAGTCTTATTTTAAGACGTTCGGAAAATTTCATGTAACTCTTCTTTTTCTTTTTAATATAGTCATAGATCGAAATATCTTTTATTAGGCATCTTCTTGGCAAATATGCATAACTTATTAATAAAGTCTGTTCTCATGGAGTCATCAGCCAGACACTTGCAAATTTTTTTAATATTGTTTTGCACCTAGGGTTCCATGTAAAAATCTGAACGGGATATTTTATGAAAATTTTTATGCAGGCAAAAAATATAATGGAAAAATTTAACAAATAAATAATAGTATTGTCCAAATTATACAAAATTTGAAACCTAGGTGGTGTTAAAGTCGTAATGGTTTAATTGTCTTGATACAGTTGAGAAATCTCACTTGTAGCTATTCTTTTTTCAATTTATAGCTCGGGCATTTATTTGGTATTTCTCAATCAATTTTGCTTATTTTATAAATTAAAAGAAACCCTCAACTACCCAAAACGGTACAGGGGATCACAGAGTTTAAGACCCCACAATTTCGTGACTAACGACATATGGTGCACAAAATAAATACGAAGTAGTCACCATTGCGCACCAACCTCCTTTACCCCACAGTGAAGGCGGTACTCATATATCCTAAGTTGGGTGCGTTTCAAGACGCCACTGCCACTAGGGATCGAACCTCATTACTTCACAATGAAAGTTCAGGCGTTAAAGAGACTGCAAATGACAACACGCAATTTGAAAACCGACAAATTGTATGATGCCTATGAAGAAGTGTTCAAGGACTGGGAGAAAGAGGAAATAATTGAAGAGGTTCCAAAAGAAGACATGGGAATACCTTGTCACTACTTACCTCATCGACCTGTGATAAAGGAGAGCAGCACAACTAAAATCAGGCCCGTGTTCAATGCTTCTTCTAAGAGAAAAGGAGTTCCTAGTTTAAATGATTGTGTAGAAAAAGGGTTAAATTTGATAGAAGTAATTCCCTCAATGATAAATAAATTTCGAAGATATCAATNGACTAACGACATATGGTGTACAAAATAAATACGAAGTAGTCACCATTGCGCACCAACCTCCTTTACCTCACAGTGAAGGCGATACTCATATATCCTAAGTTGGCTGCGTTTCAAGACGCCACTGCCACCAGGGATCGAACGCCATTACTGCACATTGAAAGTTCAGTCTCTTAGTCACCATTGCGCACCAACCTCCTTTACCCCACAGTGAAGGCGGTACTCATATATCCTAAGTTGGGTGCGTTTCAAGACGCCACTGTCACCAGGGATCGAACCCCATTACTGCACAATGAAAGTTCAGTCTCTTAACCTCTACTCCATCACGTTGCCGTTTTACTGTATATTTTGTCTGTCTATAGTTTGTATTTGCAGACAGCTTATGAGGTTTTCTTATTTTCTTTGTACCACAGAATAAATTGATGCTGGTTTCCTCTATAAAAAAAAAAAGACGAAATGAGCATTGACTGAATACCAAAAATGATTTCCTAACTCGAGTCAAACAGGGTAGTGGGTCAGAACAAGGTTCCCTTTTTTTGGTGTCCAGTAGGTGTTATATTCGAGGGGAAGTAAGTAGAATTTAAACCAACATATCACTGCTTAACCACGGGAGTTTGCTTGATTTCTTGAGCTGGTGTGCACAGTTTTCGTTACAATTTCTTTCTCCTTTATCATAACTTCTGATAATTTCGTTACCAAGGTAAGATGCCCATAATTGTTAATATTGTTAGTAGATGCTTATAGTACTCTTAATTGTCTTCAGTTAGGCGTAGTTAAAAAAAACTCCCGTCTGCGCATAGTTACTGATTGACCTAAAGTATTTAACCAGTTTCCGAGCAAAAGTACAATGTCCCAGGGTGGAATGGGAAAGCACCCCACAGTCAATAATGTATTTATATTTGTAATGAAGCAAGGGTGATTTCTTCTTAAACTTAAAGTGATTAAGAGATGAAAATGGTTACTTTGCTTAACCTTGGCGTACAGTAAGGTAGTATCTCACCAGTACTGTCTTAAAGGATTAGACCACTTCAGACCAAACCTTAAACACTTAAAACTACATACTATTACTCATGTGGTACATAGACGATAAAAATAAACTAAACATTGCACATATTTCTCTCAGTTAAGAGTGAAAAACTTACAGAAAAAAACATTACAAGAAACTTATTTTAAAATAAACACACACAAAAAAAATCCTTATTTAAAAAGTCCTCGAAATGTTTCCAAACTTTGGAAATTATCTAAAATCCTTCCCTAAAAGTATGAATAAATTTAAGGATTCAAACAGGATTGGCAATCCTTCTTTGTTTAGATAAATTATGTTAGATTAATTATGGATAGTGGTTTCTACACTAGGGAGCGCTGGAAGCTCTTGACTGCCTATACTTCCAGGTTACTGCTTTTAGTGTGTTTTGAAGCCATTTGACTCGTAACGTGATCATTGTGTTTTGAGACTCTCTTGAGTAATATTTCTCGCGTACGTGTATTTGTAATTAAAAGAAAAATCGTTATAAGAATCATCATTTGAAGATTTTTGATTTCAAGACGTAAAAATCGTCATTTAAAAAAAGAATCGTTATAAAACACTTTTTACTTTGTTAACAATATACCAACAATATATTAAAACAATATGTTAACAATATATTAAACCTGAATGATAATTTGTAAAATGAACTTAATCTTGCTGCTCGAACAATATGCTAACACTAACTTATGATTGTGCATAGCTTGCACCAAGAACAAACAGTAATAAACAAGTAAAAATAGACCAAATGAGAACTGGAAAAAAAGCGAGCTCTTTCTAAATCTAGCAACCATGTCACCTTTTGTAACGATGCATCTCTAAATAACTAAAACAAATTTTCCCTTCAAACTCACCAAAATTACCTAATATAATTAATATCTAATGAAATACAGCAGATTTGAGCTCAGAAATTATATAATTTTTTCTTTTATTAAAATCAAATTTATCTGCTTAAAAATATCGCCTAGCAGAATAAGCTGTAGTAAGAAGCTGTATATTTTCTAACCGAAAGTAGAGCACGTTAAGAGCTCGATATTGTTGTTGTTTACATTTATACTATGTTGTTTACATTTATGGAAAACACCATCTTTATATATTTCTTGTGCATCGTACTAGCCCAATTTTTAAGGGGGATGGAATAAAATTAAGCAGTCACAATAGTTCTTTAATTTTCAACCATAAGAAAAAAAATGTCTTAAATATGCTAAATACCTACAAAAGATTAATAATTTTTTTTTTTATCTCTTCCTTGTTTTCAATTCTAAGCAATTTAAATAGAAG